CAATATAGTATGGAATATATCCATAATAAGGATCAATACGATAAACATATATGAAAACATATTTTAGAAAACCGTACAAAAGACATATATATCAAAATACCAGTAATACAAATATATCAAGACAGTAGTAACACATGCCACCAAAATATAGCAAAAAGACATATAGAAATATATTGTGTTACAAAACTAAAAGTAGTCGATCTCCCTAAACTAAAAGTAGTCGATCTCCCCTGATGCAAAGTCTGTTAGTTTGCGGTCTGCTACTATATGAAAATGTTAAAATTTACAGAGTGAGCTAAAAAGCTCAGTGTGCTCCTTGCGGTGTATAAAAAGATTCAAATAAAGGTAATTCAGAAAAATCACTTATCAAACATTTACCAACATGAACACTACCCCCATCCATTCACCAGAATGTGTAGGTTCCCCAAAACCGTACACCTACCTGTATACGCGGTAAGGGCTTACCCTGTGCACAAAGAAGAGGAGCCTGCGATAAGGTCTTATCCTGTGCACAAAGCAGAGGAGCCTACAGTAACAGTAAGGTCTTACCCTTGCACATAGCAAAGGAGTCTGCGGTAACGGTAAGGTCTTACCCTTGCATATAGCAAAGGAGCCTGCGGTAACGGTTAGGTCTTACTAGTCATAGACTAGGCCTGAAATACTTCCTCCAATAATACCCCCAAATGACAATAATAAACATATATGTATTGGAGTGAAAACGGTAATTAATCCATTAAAATATGAAAATGTTCCATATTCAGAAATCAGGTACAAAAATTCTGTAACCAGAATTCATATAAAAAATATGAGGTAAATCAGATATCAAATAAATTGTATTCAAAACATCGGTATTGCCTCATACAAATATTTAGTACCCTCAGAAATATAAAAAAATTCATATAAATAGTTTAAAACAGCAAGATACATCGTCAGGAAACACACCTGTAATAGTCTAAGTAATCTGATAGGGAACCCTTCTTCTGAGTCTGTTGATCACGATCAGCGGTAGCGCTAGATCCTACTAATCAGAAAAATCCATATCGAAAACTTAATATGAATAATCTTAACCTTTATTTAAATAATTTACAGAAACCTACAGGTAATTATCGTAGAACACAGTTCGGGAGGATCTGACGAACTAAAAATACCAGACCTAACTGACCCTCGGTCAGGTGAAACACGAGTACCTTCATAAAAATATCTTATTGGATCAATTTCATAATCACATCTCAAATAAATAAGCAAAAAATGCTAAAAATACTAAGACTTTTTGGGTTAACGAGCTCAATTCAGGGCTTTCGGGTTAGAATTTGGAAAAATGGAATTCGAAATCGGACTCAGGACGCCGAAAAATATAAAATATGACTTTTTAAATTTTTTGACTTTTTTGGTTAAAGTTAACGGTCAATGGTCGGTAAACGGTAGGCTAACGGTCAACATTGGACCGTGTCAGATCGGGTAGGCGGGTCGGGTTAGCAGTTCTGGTCAGCAGGTCGGGTCAAACTTGGATCGGGTCATGGCAGCCCATTTCAAAGTTGTGCACCCCAAAGTGGACTTTCCCCACGCATAGGGGCAGAGCGTGTGCGGCGGCCTAGGGGGTCCGAAAAATTCTACAAAAATTCCTAGAGTTATTTTAAGGGATTTTGAGACACTTACCAAGCTCGGTTCACAACTTTGAATGGTGGAGAGCTCGATTTCGATAAGAAGGAATTCGGTGGACTCGGGTGCTGTAGGTGTCGAAAACGGAGCAACGATCGACGACAGATTGATGATTAAAGATTTGTGCTAAAGGAGGAAGCTTGAAGAGAGAGAGAAAATATGGTTTCCAAATGAGGAAACTTTCTAGGTTTGGGGCTATATATTCCCTAAAGAAAATATATATGGTGAAATTACACTCTAGGTCCTCCAACTTTTGATACTTTGAATTTGAATCCGATATTAATCCAAAATTTCACTTTGGTCCCAACTTTATAAAAATTAATTTATTCCTCAAAAAAATTTTAGGCCCTATTTTGGGGTGTGACAACTCTCCCCCTCTTAAAAGAAATTTTGTCCTCGAAATTTATCTGATGAAAACAGATGCGGAAATTGAGCCTCCATTGACTCCAATGTCTACCAAGTAGCTTCTGAGGGGCCACGGTTACTCCATTGAACTTTGACCATTGGAATACTCCTATTCCGAAGAACTCTTTCATCCCGGTCTAAAATATGAATGGGCTCCTCCTCATAGGACAAATCAGGTCTCAACTCTACCTCCTAAACCTGAATGTTGTGACCTAGATCTGGATGGTATCAGCTCAACATGTATACATGAAAAACATCATGAATGTGATTGAGCTGGGGAGGCAATTCAAGCTGATAAACAACATGTCTGACTTTCTTCATAATACGATACGACCCAATAAATCTCGAGCTCAATTTACCCTTACGTCCAAATCTTAACACTTTCTTTCACGGAGATACCTTGAGAAAAACATGATCCCCTACTAAAACTCGATATCCTTATGTCGTTGATATGCGTATGATTTCTTCCTATCAAATGACTCTCTCAGGCGATCATGGATCAATCAGACAATGTCCTTATTCTCTTGAACTAACTCTGGACCCAAAGTCTTTCTATCATGCAACTCTATCCAACAGATAGGAGTACGACATCTACGTCCATACATAGCCTCATACGGTGCCATAGGAATACTTACCTGATAACTGTTATTGTAAGAAAACTCGGCTAAGGAAAAGAAATCCTCCTAACTACCATGAAAATCAATCACATAACCCCGTAACATATCCTCCAACACTTGAATTACTCACTCTGACTGACCATCAGTCTGCGGGTGAAAAGCTGTACTGAAATTCAAATGAGTACCCAAAGCCTCGTGCAAAGTCTTCCAGAACCTGGAAGTGAACCTCGGATCTCGGTCAAATATGATAGACAACAGAACACCATAAAGTCTAACGATCTCAGAAATGTACAATCTAGCCAGCTTGTCTAAAGAATAATTAATCCGAACAGGGATAAAGTGAGCTGACTTGGTGAGTCGATCAACATTCACCCAAATAGAATCATTTTCGGAATGAGTTAGAGGAAGACCGATAACGAAGTCCATCGTAATGCATTCCTATTTCTACTCAGGAATCTTAATTTATTATAACAATCCAAATGGACGCTGGTGCTCTGCCTTAACCAGTTGACAAGTCAGACACCTCGCAACAAAATCTGAAATATTCTTCTTCTTCATACCAGTCCAAATATAGCGCTCATTGAGATTCTTATACATTTTTTCTCCACCAGGATGCATAGCATAAGGACTATTATGAGCCAGCTGAAGAATAACCTGTCTCAACTCATCATCTTTAGGGACGCAGTAACGACCGTAAAAGCACAAAATACCATTCTGATCCAAAGTATACTCTGAACTCGATCCCTACTCAACTTTTTCAATAAGGGGAAGCAATGAGTTATCAATGAGCTGTTTGGCCTTAATATGGCGAATAAGGCTCTTAGATCAGATATCGCCTTACGGCTCAAGGCGTCGGCCACCACATTATCCTTCCCTGGATGATACTCTATCTCACAATCATAGTCCTTTAAAAGCTCCAAGTAGTGACGCTGTCTCAAATTCAATTCTTTCTGAGTAATTAAATACTTCAAACTCTTATGATTGGTATAGATATAACACTTTTCTCCATAGAGATAGTGTCTCCAGATCTTTAAAGCAAAAACCACAGCAACTAACTCCAGATTGTGAGTGTGATAGTTAAACTCATGTGGCTTTAACTGATGTGACGCATAACCAACAACCTTCCCATATTGCATCAAAACACATTCTAATCCAGAGTAAGAAGCATCATTATAGACAGAAAAATCTTTCCCAAACTCAGGCTGAATCAGTACTGGGGCTTGAGTTAGAACAATCTTCAGTTTCTCAAAGCTAGCTTGTTGATTCTCAGACCAAACAAATGGAACATCTTTCCTTAATAGTTTAGTTAGAGGAGCTGTAATAATGGAGAACCCCTCAATGAAACGACGGTAGTAACCAGCTAAGCCCAAGAAACTATGGATCTCAGAGACGTTATTGGTTGTTTCCAATTTAAAATAGCCTCCACTTTACTCGGATCTACCCGGATACCCTCAGTAGAAAATATATGTCCAAGAAAAGTCACTTCGCTGAGCCATAACTCACAGTTGCTCAACTTGGCGTATAACTTATTTTCCCTTAGAGTCTGCAGAACAATCCTAAAATGCTCATCATGTTCTGCTTCAATTCGAGAATACACCAATATGTCATCGATGAACACAACTATAAACTGGTCCAGATAAGGTTAAAACACTCGATTCATCAGATCCATAAAAGTAGCAGGAGTATTAGTTAACTCGAATGACAATACTAAAAACTCGTAATGCCCATACCGAGTACGGAAAGTAGTCTTTGGAACATCAGAATCTTTTACCTTGAGTTGGTAATATCCATACCTCAAGTCTATCTTTGAAAAGATAGAAGCCCGTCAAAATTGGTCAAACAGATCATCAAACTTGGGAAGTGGATATTTGTTCTTAACCGTGAGCTTGTTAAGTTTCCTATAATCAATACAGATTCTCAATGTCTCATCTTTCTTCTTAACAAAGAGATCTGGGGATCCCCACGGTGATACACTGGGTTGAATAAATCCTCTATCCAATAACTCATGGAGTTGGACTTTCAGTTCCTTAAGCTCCTTTGGGGCCATACGGTAAGAGCCATTGAAACTGGGGTAGAACTATAATAGACTTCAATCTCAAACTCAACTTCTCTATCCGGCGGTAATCCATGTAATTCTTCAGGAAAAACATCGGGGAATTCCTTAACAATTCGGATGCCTTCAATATTAGATCGGGAACTCCTAGTGTCTAGAATATAAGAAAGAAATACCTCAGAACCCTTCCTGATCATCCTCTCATCTACCAATGCTGACACAACATTCGTCAGAAATCCACGATGTTCCCCGAATATCATAATCTTTCAGTTATTCAAAGTCTTTAGAACTGTTCTCTTGGTCTCATAATCGAGATTAACTCGATGCTTTTTCAACCAATCCATGGAAAGAATCAAATCAAACTCCTCTAAAGGTAACTCCATGAGGTCGGCCATAAAGATCTCCCCATGGATCTCTATAGGACACCCTCTAAAAATACGATCTAACTCTATGGACTGACCTACATGACTTTGAACTGTCACCGAATTCTCAGTATTATCAACAGGAATATTCAAACACTCAAAACCGGAATATGATATATAGGAATGGGTAGAACCATTATCATATAATGCAAAGTAAGGAACTAAATGAATAGTAATAGTACATGCAATCACATCAGGCCTATCGCGATCCTATCAACGTCTAGTAGTATAAACCAATGCAAGTTGTCTGGCCTCAGATCTACCTGGACCCCTACTGTGAGATGCTTGACCTCTCCTAGCTGATCCTGGTGCTCTGCTCTAACTATTTCTCCCTGTTGGAGTTCTAACGGTACTCTGAGTACGAGTGGGAGTACAAGCTGGTGTCTGAACTGAAGGAGCTGGCTCTGGATAATCTTTTATGAAATGGTCACCATAACCACATCTAAAACAGGTACCCAATTTCTTCCTGCACTCACCAAAATGACATCTCCTACAGTGTACACATGTCAGTAAAGGTTGCAATCCAGAAGAACCACTCTGACTAGGAGGTGCTATAGCTGACAAACCTGATACTATAGGCCTGGCACTCGCACATCCTCTCTGAGAAGACTCACCCCTACCTCTCTTGATGGGGCATGCAGAAGAGTCAACAGAAGGCCTCTTGAATCGGTCTCGGTCTCTATCTCTCCTGCGCTCCATACCCAATCGTTCTATTTCCTCAGTAATCTTGGCTATCTTAACCAAGGCATCAAAATTCCTCTCCCTATGGGTAGCAACTCGACTTTTGATCTTATACTTGAGTCTATTCTCAAACCTCAAGCACCAGTCCAACTCGGTATCAACGAGTCCAGCAGCATAGTGACTCAATTGGATGAACTCAACCTCATAGTCCATAACAGACATATCACCCTGCTCCAGGTTCTGAAACTCTTGGCGTCGCTCCTACATGTATCTCTCTTCGATGTAAAGACTCTGAAAACGTGTCTTAAAAAGATCCCACGTTAACTGATTCCCCGTAATACTACCAGAAATCGATTGCCACCATTTGAAACTCTCTTTTTTCATCATAGCTAGGGCTCCCTTTAACTTTTGCTCAAGCCTCAGATCCATCTCATCCAATATTCTCTCTGTATCCTCCAACCAATACTCAGCGTCACTTGGAGGTCCACCAGTAATACCTTCAAATGGAACTACTCCAGTAGCTACCAAAGACTTTGAAATCTTGATCGAAGACATATTACTAGGGACTCTAGCATCTCTCTGAAACATGCGAAAGATAACTCTATTAATGGCTTCTTCATCCAAGTCAGTTTCATCATCTTTAGTCATGGGAGAGTCTCTTACAGGAGTAACCAGATAATCATGAGAAATAGATGGATCTACATACGGAATATGAGGATCACATGGTGAGATCGAATCATCTATCGTGACAGAAGGTTGAGTGACTTGCCCTCGACCATGGCCACAACCTGGCTTACGACCTCTAGCAGCACTCATCAGTTGGATCTAGAAGGCTCTACAGAAAGAATTTGAATATAAGTTAGACTAGCATCAGGGATCTGGAATATATATAAAAAAACTCATAAAATAGGTGACACGTTTTTGAAAATATCAAAATTTTTTAAAATTGAAGGCTCTGATACCACTAAGTGTAACCCCCTAGACACGACCTAAATGTTATGGCAGATCTAGGCGGTTACGTATCACATTCAGAAATTCTTTTTTATATTTAAAATAACGTTGAAATTCATGTCTCAGTATAGTATGAAATTTATCCATAATAAGGATTCATACGATAAACATATATGAAAACATATTTTAGAAAACCGTACAAAACATATACATATCAAAATACTAGTATACAAATATATCAAGACAGTAGTAACACATGTCACCAAAATATAGCAGAAAGACATATATAAATATATTGTGTTACAAAAGTAAAAGTAGTCGATCTCCTCTTATGCAAAGTCTGCTAGTCTACGGTCTGCTGCTATGTGAAAAGGTTAAAATTTACAGAGTGAGCTAAAAAGCTCAGTTTTCTCCTTGCTGTGTATATAAACATTAAGATAAATCAGTTATCAAACATGTTTTAACAACATGAACACTACCCCCATCCAATCACCATAATGTGTAGGTTCCTCATAACCGTACACCCACCTGTACACCTGCTAAGGGCTTAACCTATGCACAAAGTAGAGGAGCCTGCGGTAAGGTCTTATCATATGCACAAAGCAGAGGAGCATGCGGTAACGGTAAGGTCTTACCCTTGAACATAGTAAAGTAGCCTGTAGTAACGGTAAGGTCTTACCCTTGCACATAGCAAATGAGCATGTGGTAACGGTAAGGTCTTACAAGTCATATACTAGGCCTGAAATACTTTCTACAATAATACCCCAAATGACAATAATAAACATGTATGTATTGGAGTGAAAACAATAATTAATCTATTAAAATATGAATCTATATTCAAAAATCAGGTATAAAAATACTGTAACCAGAAATCATATAAAAAATATACGGTAAATCAGATATCAAATAAATTGTATTCAGAGCATCGATATTGTCTCATAAAAATATTTAGTACCCTCGGAAATATAAAACAGTTCATATAGATAGTTTAAAACAGTAAAGTACACCGTAAGGAAACACACATGTAACAGTCTGAGTAATTGGATAGGGAACCCTTATACTGAATTTGTCGATCACGATTAGCGGCAGTGCTAGATCCTACGAATCAGAAAAATCCATATCAGAATCCTAATATGAATAATCTTAACCTTTATTTAAATAATCTATGGAAACCTACGGGTAATTCTCGTAGAACGTAGTTCGGGCGGATATAACAAATGGAAAATATCGAACCTAACTGAGCCTCGGTCAGGTGAAACACGAGTACCTTCATAAAAATATCTTATTGGATCAATTCCATAATCACATCTCAAATAAATAAGCAAAAATGCTGAAAATACTAATACTTTTTGGGTTAACGAGCTCAATTCGGGGCTTTCGGGTTAGAATTTGGCAATACACACTTCAAAATCGGACTCAGTATGTCGAAAATCATAAAATATGACTTTTCAAAATTTTTGACTTTTTTGTCAAAGTCAACGGTCTTTGGTCAATGGTAGGTTAACATTCGGTCAACGATCAACGTTGGACCAGGTCGGATCGGGTCAATTCAGGAAGGCGGGTTGAATTAGCGGTTCGGGTCAGCGGGTCAGGTCGGACATGGATCGGATCAGGGTAGCCCATTTCAAAGTTGTCCAGCATGCTGTGGATTCCCCTGCGCGTGGGGGCATATGTGGCTGCCTAGGGGGTTCAAATAATTCTACAAAATTTCCTAGAGCTATTTTAAGGGATTTTGAGACACTTACCAAGGTCAGTTTACAACTTTGAACGGTGGAGAGCTCGATTCCGATATGTTAAAAATTTAATATTCCTCACCCCTTCACATGCCGGCAAAAACAGAGATAAGAAGGACACCGGTGGACTCGATACGATGCAAGGAACACAATGGTGCTGGAGGTTTCGAAAATGGAGCAACGATTGGCAACAGATCGTCGATTAAAGATTTGTGCTAAAGGAGGAAGCTTGAAGAGAGAGAGAGAGAGAGAGAAATTATGGTTTCCAAATGAGGAAACTTTCCAGGTTTGGAGCTATATATTCCCTAAAGAAAATATATATGGTGAAATTACACTCTAGGTCTTCCAACTTTTGATACTTTGAATTTGAATCTGATATTAATCCAAAATTTCACTTTGGTCCCAAATTTATAAAAATTAATTTATTCCTCGAAAAATTTTAGGCCCTATTTTAGGGTGTGACATATAAACTATATAGTTTATTAATATAAAGTATATAGTTTATACATAAATTATATATGAATTATATTTAAATATATACAACTTATATTATTATACTATGTATAATTATAAATTATATATACTATGTATAGTTTATATAGTTTAAATATAAAGTATATAAGTATACATATAAATTATAAATTTTATATAATAATAATAATATTATTATTATTATTATTATTATTATTATAAAGTATAAGTATATTATTTATATAAAAAGTTTAATTATAAAGACTAAAGTATATATACATATAAAGTATAAGTATGTACATACATACATATATATATATATAAACTATAAAGTATATATATAAAGTTTTAGTATAAAGTATAATAATATAAAATATAAGTTTTAAACATAAAGTATATATACATGTATAATAATATAAAGTATATAAGTGTATTATATAAAGTATATAAGTATATAAAGTATATATATATATATAAAGTATAAGTATGTATATATATAAACTATAAAGTAAAAGTATATCTATAAAAACTATAAATTAAGTGTGTATATATATAGTTTTAGTATAAAGTATATATACATATATAATAATATAAACTATAAGTATATTATATATATAATCTAATTATAAAGACTAAAGTATATATACATATACATATAAAGTATAAGTATGTATATATATATATATATAAACTATAAAGTATATATATAAAGTTTTAGTATAAAGTATAATAATATAAAATATAAGTATTAAACATAAAGTATATATACATGTATAATAATATAAAGTATATAAGTGTATTATATAAAGTATATAAGTATATAAAGTATATATATGTATATAAAGTATAAGTATGTATATATATAAACTATAAAGTGTGTATATATATAGTTTTAGTATAAAGTATATATACATATATAATAATATAAAGTATAAGTATATTATATATATAATCTAATTATAAAGAATAAATTATATAAGCATATAATATAAAGTATATATACGTATATAATATATATATATGTATATAATAATATAAAGTATATAAGTGTTAAATGTATAAGTATATATATAAACTATAAAGTATATATATATAAAGTATAAGTATTTGTATATGTATAGTTTATATATATATACTTTATATTTAATACTTATATACTTTATATTATTGTATACCTATATATACTTTATATTTATATACTTATATACTTTAGTCTTTATAATTATACTTTATATATATATATATATATACACACACACAATATACTTATACTTTATATTATTATATATGTATATATTCTTTATACTAAAACTTTATATATATACTTTATAGTTTATATATATATATATACTTTATATTTCATACTTATATACTTATATTTAATACTTATATACTTTATATTATATACTTATATACTTTATATTATTATATACAAATATACACTTTATACTAAAACTTTATATATATACTATTTAGTTTTTATATTTATATATATATATATATATATATACTTTATATGTCTATATACTTTATAATAAAACTTTATATATTATTATTATTATTATATATATATATATATATATATATATATATATATATTATAACATCTCAAAAACCAGGTTAGTGACTAAAATGGAAGTTTTTGAAATTTGGTGATCAAATTATGAAAAATTGAAAGTTTAAGGAATTAATTAGGAATTTTATTTAAAAGGATTGATTGGTAGATATGAAAGGATTGAAGGGCAAAATGGTCATTTGAACACCAAGATAATTATTTTCTTATGATTATATAGTAACCACGTGGAAGGTAAATAGGGAAAAAGTAAATTCTGGAGCATTCTCTTCATCTTTCTTCTTCTCCTCTCCACCGTGACACCATAGCTGGAGGTAAGGAAGATTTCATATGGTTATTTTTGGTAAATTAAGGTTGGTTTTGATTCATGGGGGTGTTAGAAAATGTATGGAAGCTTAGGGAGTAATAGAAACTTAAAAGAATGGTAAATTATGGGGATTTAATATAAGGGATTTTTAAGTGAATTGTTAGGAGAGAGTTTGTAAATAGATTCT